CACACACACACACACACACACACACAAACACACACACACACACACACACAGGGTTGTAGAATAAAATGTTCTCTTTTCGTTTTTTTAGTTTTCTATAATAAAGGAAGGTCAAAATTAGAAAAAACAATATGGGCGTGTAGGGTTTTTCAAACACCACATGCACAATTTTTTTTTTTTTCATCCATTAAAGAAATAAGAAAAAATAAAAAACCAACGGGGATTCAACGGGGATTCAACGGGGATTCAACGGGATTCAACGGATTCAACGGATTCAACGGGACGACATTTTTTTGTTGCTCCACGTGTATCCAGCGCCGTGTCCGAGGCCCAATGCGCCCTCCCCGTTGAACAGTATTCAACGGAGAGGGCCCGTTGTACTATTCAACGGGGATTCATCAGGGCCCCGGGAGCTATTCAACGGGTACAACGACGTTGTAACTTTTCCGTTGCACGTTGAATAGAAACGGGGATTCAACGGGGATTCAACGAGATTCAACGGATTCAACGGGACGACATTTTTTTTTTGTTCCACGTGTGTCCAGCGCCGTGTCCGAGGCCCAATGCGCCCTCCCTGTTGAACAGTATTCAACGGAGAGGGCCCGTTGTACTATTCAACGGGGATTCAACGGGGCCCCGGGAGCTATTCAACGGGTACAACGGCGTTGTAACTTTTCCGTTGCACGTTGAATAGAAACGGGGATTCAACGGGGATTCAACGGGATTCAATGGATTCAGCGGGACGACATTTTTTTTTTGTTCCACGTGTGTCCAGCGCTGTGTACGAGGCCCAATGCGGCCTCCCCGTTGAACAATATTCAACGGAGAGGGTCCATTGTACTATTCAACGGGGCCCCGGGAGCTATTCAATGGGTACAATGGCGTTGTAACTTTTCCGTTGCACGTTGAATAGACACACGGTCTCGTGGCACTAGGAACTGGGCTCTGACTGGATCGCGCCCTTAATCCTGCGTAACCGTCGTTTTTGGCGGCCGCGATTGTAACTGTATCTTTCTTCTTTCTTGATTTCCTCGTGTTTACCCGCTTTCTCCTTCTTCCTCGCCTTGCATACTCGATTCTAATTGACCTGAACGCCTGCATGACCGGATCGATGCGTGGAGTGTGGCTACGACCCCCATGCCGCGGCTTGGCCATGCGGACGTAGGCACTTCTTCTCTTCTCCTCCTGACCTCTTGGGCTTAATCCCGTACCTTTCGCGCAAGCATGGATGCTATAAATTTTGCAAGCGCTCTAAGAACCTTGGAGTTAGCGCGATCAGTGAGGGTCGGCTAACGAGTCAGCTTGAGAGGTGAGTCGACGAGAGAGTTGGGCGATCCGACGAGCTGGTGTCGGGTATGCGGGGTTGACGTGCGGGGCCGCGACGGACTGTGGCGCACGGGCAAACCTGGCTTGCATGCTCGAACCAAGTGGGGTGACAACTCTGAGTTGGTGCGAGGCGACGGACTGCCTGCATCGGGAGTGGAGGGAGAGAGAGAGAGAGAGAGCAGCTATGGGTGTGGGATGAGGTTTTTTCCTTTGTTTATCTGTATAATTTTGGCTCCTGATATGGCCGATTTTGTTGCGGCCTTTTTGGATTTCTCTTTGCAAATCGTCTCGGATTTTCCTTGTCGTTTTTACTTCCTATGTATGCATGGAATGGATGTGAATTCCTTTTTATTAATGATCTTTTCGGATTTCCAATCTTGTTTTGCAATGCCTGTTTCGTCACCGTCTACTATCCATTTATGCAAGTTATACGCTCAGATCTAATTGAAAGCACTCGTTATGGATGTTTGGGTTTAATCGTTAGTTTGCGATCACCAAGAGTGTTGTGAGAAGTTGATTGTCCTTTCCCCTTTTCTCTCCTTTTCGGCACATGTATGGCATGGATCTGAATGTAATGACTGGATCGCACCCAACGTAGCATGAGTAGGATAGTTGCATGTATGTCGAACGCGATCGGTACACTGAACCCCGGGACCGATCCGCTGTTTTTCATGTGTGCGCTCGCGTACGACCGCGATCTCGAGAAAGCCGAGTCGCCGTGTAAGCGCTCGTCTGCATGAGTCGGCCTTGAACCCAATATAAGGATGCAGGGGACCGAGTTCGCTAAACAGATATGGTTGCGGAATTTCCCTCTTGGATCCCTGATCGTGGGAGCCTGAGGGACCCGGAATATCGCGAATACTGGGAAGGTGAACAACTCAGACGGCGGGGAAACTTAAGAAATCAGGAATTCCCCTGTCCGACAGAGAACGACCGATTGTGCGCAAGGGACTTTCACTGTGTCATAACTAACGATCCTAGGGGCCCCGACTACCCGGACACTTATAACACGCAGTATTACGTATCCCCCCGCTTCGTAGTTATTACCACTAGTTTCCCTCCTTTTCACCTCCTTCTTCCATATCACCAGCTCACAGTGGTGCCGTGAAATTCCATAGCCCTCTATTGGCCCCGCCCACCGTGCGAAAAGTGCCAGCAACACCAGGCATATCGAGCTTCGGAAATTGCTCGGCGGACCTGAACCGAAGCCGAGCGGCGCCGACAACTGGTCAAACCATGCGATCGCCGCTACAACCCACGAAGTCGACCACAGCGACGCGACTGGCAGAAACGGTAATCCCAAACACGATCTTCACGTACCATCTTGCACTATTGTCCCTAAAACTTGCCACCGGAGATCTCAGTTCCGACCTGGGACTCCACCCCCACTTTCCTAAAATCCTTGGCACACCCCCTTTTCGCACTTCCAGGCCCCCATCCTACTCCGATCAGGAAGTTGCGCTGGGCGTGAGGTTGGGCGTCATACCCACACCCACCCACGCACACCACACACGGCCCCGCCCACCCACCCACCCACCCACCCACGCACACAC